TAATCACTTTTACTTATTTTAATCTAAACAAAAATTATGCTTTAATATTATGTAAATAAAAAAAATGAGTATAGCCAACGTGTAACGCACGCCACACAAAATACTTGGTATATATAAATGTGGGAATAGGGAAAAATGAGTATAGCCAACGTGTAACGCACGCCACACAAAATACTTGGTATATATAAATGTGGGAATAGGGGGAAAAATAATGAGATTTTCGATATCACTCTTAATGAAATTTGGAATCCAAAAATAGCCTTAAGTCATAAAAAAAAGCCCATTAAAAAATTACATTTGACATTTTAAGTTTTATCTTTTTCAATTTATTTTTTAATATATATATATATAGAGAGAGAGAGAGACATTGGAAAATTTTTTATATTTTATTTTAAATATTTAATTTTATTTTGATTATAATTTAAAATCTTTAATCTAGGAGTTAGATAAAAAAAGGAAAAAATATATTCTTTTTTTTTTATATTTGTATGATTTGATTGAATATATTTTTAAAAAAATAAATCTTCAAATAGAATATATAATATTTTTTTTAGGAGAGATAAAAAAGAAAAGAGTATATATTTTTTTTGTATCGTTATAGGAAAAATTGATGTTTTATTTGAAAAGGATAGAACGTTTTTTTAATGTATCTTTTTTTATTAATTAATTAAAATTTTATTTATTTTAAATTTACAACTTAGAATAATAGAGAAACGAAATACTTAAATAAATTTATTAATTGACAAATATTGGATCCTAATATGATTTGTTTTATAATTTGCATTTATTGACTCGGCTTCAGTCTTTTTTTTTCTTTTTATCCATCAACATAAAATTTCATTAAATTATTGTCTTTCCAGTTAAAGGAGTTGATTTTTGAAATTCAAATTGGAAACTTTTTAATATATTTTATTTTTTATTATATGTTGAGTTCTCAAAAGAATTTTATTTTTAATAATGAGTTTTTATTTTTCATTTTTTTTTCATTACTGAATTAATATTTAACTATATCACTTTAATTTACTAAGAGATTTATGTCTCTCTTGAACTAAATAGATAGCCTCTTGATAATTAAGCATTTTTTATTTTCTTAATACTTTTTCTCTTATATTCTAAATATGTTTGACTTGAAAGAAAATAGTATTTATGAAACTGGAAAAAAAACTATAACTATATATTTCTGTATGTCTGTACATATATTTTTTTCTCCAATACACTGGGTAAGTAATATTGTAAACCTATAGCCAAAGTGATTCCTATTATCAATTCATATCATCTTCTCATTTCTTTTTTCTTTATCTAGCAGTAAAAAATAATTTATTATTATTTTTCATTATATTTGTATATAGATATTGATTTGGGATTGAGGAGAGTGGTTGGAGATTGAGTGATTGCTTATTTTCTTTTTGGACACCTATTAGAATTTTAAAAATGCTTATTTAAAAAATTAGGGCTGAAGGATTAAGTTTAGGGATGAGATTAAAGTTTATTTTAAGACATTGTTATTATATAAATAAAATTAAGATACATAAAAATTAGCATACAAATTAACCAATTGTATTTATTTTAATCTGAACACAAAGTTTATGCTTTAAGATTGTATAAATAAAGTATATAGATATTGATTTGGGATTGAGGAGAGTGGTTGGAGATTGAGTGATTGCTTATTTTCTTTTTGGACACCTATTAGAATTTTAAAAATCTGTATTTAAAAATTAGGGGCTGAAGGATTAAGTTTAGGGATGAGATTAAAGTTTATTTTAAGACCATTGTTATTATATAAAAATAAATTAAGTACATAAAATGTAGCATACAAATTAACCAATTGTATTTATTTTAATCTGAACAAAAGTTTATGCTTTAAGATTGTATAAATAAAAAAATTAAAAAAATGTAAAAAATGAGTATGTAATGAGTATAGTTAACGTGCAACGCACGTCATAAAAAAGACTAATATATATACATATAAAAGTAGGAATTGGATTGACAAACTTTAGTTCATTGTCACATGCTTCTGTTGAATTTCTATGTTGATCACACACCACTATATTCAATTACATTCTAACAAGCCTATGCTAAATGGTTTCAAAAGAAATATTTCTAGCAATAAAGTTTACATTCAAAGTTCTTGTCTTCCTTTCAATTCCCAAGAATTTAAGGAACAGTTTGTGAGCAAACTCGAGCATTTTGAATAATTTTCTTCTAGAATTTATGTTTAAATATAAAAATTAATAACCAATCAAAATTAAATTTATTTTATTTTTTTAACTAATAAAATCAATATATAAATTTAGTAAAGCACATATACTAAATAAATAATTATATTTAAATAAAAAACTAATGACCAATTAAAATTACTTTTATTTTTTCAACCAATAGATTAGAATCTTTCAACATATTTTTATCAATCTGTAATTCAGTAGGGCATTTTAGGAACCTAATGTTAAAAATAAAAATAAAAATAAAAATAAATTAATTTTGATTGGTTAAATTAATTTCCATCTAAATTTAAATTATTGTGAAAAATTTATCCTATTATGTTACCATATATATATTTGGTTTTAATTGTTTTTAATTATCAAGAATTTGCTTATTTTTACTATCAATAATTTTTTATTTTGCTATCAAGAATATGTTCTTATTGACTTAATAATAATGATATGAAAGACCAAACTAATGTTGAACATAATGATACTCGCAAAAAGAATGAATTATTAGAGTGTTAGTCACAATAATAGATTTTAATGAAAATAATATTAGCTAATTTTAAGAAAAATATTATATTTTATTATTCATTTATTTTATATTTTATTTTAGAAAATAGTTATTAATTTCTCTAACATTTAAATTCAAGAAAATAAATAGTTGAATATACCAAATTAGCTAATGAATTTAACTATTTGTAATATGAATATTCAAAATATTAATAAAACAAAATTTGTCTAAGATTCATAATATAATTGATATTTCTATTAAAATATATCGGTTTAAATTCTCTTTGTTGTTGCTAACAATGGTTTCAACCCGAGTTTCAATAAATATTATAAATTATATACTAAGTTAAGAAAAATAGTGTAAGAATTGAATTTGATCGTTAATTTCACATTTGATTAACTATTTAACCAAATCTAATCTTAAAAAGTAACTCCAGGAATTCTATTTATAACTCAGTCCAAACCATTTCGTAAAACTTAAAACTAATCGAAGAAAATTGTGAACTAACAAGAGAGTTACAATATACAAAAATTAAAATACAAATTAGAAAAATTTTGAAGACAATCAATTAATAAATCAAATGAATTTACTATAGAAAAATTAGAAAAAGTAATGATAAATTATGATATATAAAAAAGTTAAAAAAAAATTACAAGTAAAAACAATGAGTACAAACACATGCAATGTGTCGAAAAAGATCAGTAAATAGTTAAATAGAAGGACATTATTCCAAAACATTTCAAAAAAGAAAAAATAGTAACAATGATTTAAAAAATTTCTTTTCAATTAGCTGAATATATAAGTGGTGTCATAAACTGAGCATAGGCAAATCTTTATTCTAAAAATACATATTTTCACGCTACTATAAATATTCCGTAACTATGAAAACAAAACAAATTTACAAAAAAATACTAAAAAAAATTATAAAAAGGGTCAAAGATAAGAAAATTGGCCTACTAAAGAAAAAAAAAAATCAAAAATATCACTAGCCATTTTGACTGAAAAGCTAAAAGGGAGAATTGGGTCTGTACGAAAATTCCTTCTATTAAAATCTCATCCAGTTATACAAAGCCATGACCACCATAAACAGCCCGGCCTCTCTCTCTCGTCCAATTGCCAAATCCATGCTCACAAAACCCTTTCCCATCATTACACCAACATGCCCAAAACTCTTCCTCACAGCCACCAATTGATGAAGGGCACCTGGACATATGCATCCACTGTTTTTGTCTGTTTACAAAAGCTTCATGGAGGTGCTTAATTCTAGTTTCTTTTGACAAATTGAGCTGGCTTTTTAATGTCATAGGTTGATATAGAAATTCAGAATATCTAGTATTCTGATATTGCTTTTCTCCAAAATATTGTTACTTGTTTTCTCTGTAGCATAGGAGCAATGCTGATACTCTAAGCAATGGTTTTAAAGCAATACATGTTCATATAGATGATGTTGTTTGACGGTGTTACTTAAATCGGTGGTTTGCACTCCGTACCGCGTTTCTGAAACGTGGTACCCAATCGCGAGACAAAACACCAAAATTAGTGAATCGATTCTTATAGGATATTTAGAGTCAAAATTTTAGTTAAATACCTCTAAATTTTAGACTTAGTCACTTAACACATTTACTAAGTTTTTAAATAATTGCTTTTAATTATATTATTTATCATGTATATAATTCAAAGTGAATTCAGTAAAATTTTAAATAATTAGGAAAAAAATTACTTTTAAATAACTATAAATAAATAAAATGATTATAAAAATATTTGTTTGAAAAAAAATAATTTTATTAATAATTATTATTATTATTATGGGATTAATGAAGTTTAAAATAATAATATATACAAATCAGCTACCAACTAATATGAAAAAAACTCGAAAATGTAGCTAATGAAAAGAACGTTGATATGTTAAGACTGTCAATCCGGAGAATGAATTAGACGCTCTAAATATTATTTGTGATAGGAATTTCACTATGTATGCAATAAAATTACATGGGACAACAAATTGAAATTTCGCATGACGTCTTTTGAATATTTGAATCGATGTCAATGTAAGCTTGGTTCTCAATTTTATTTTTCATATTTGAAAATTCTTGGAGTTAGAGGCAATAAATAAAGATATCATTACTCCGATAATTAAAATTTTTTCAATAAAAGTTATATTTTGTTTGACTCATTTTTTCATGAAAGTGTTCATCCTTACATCGAAGATTATTTGTATTTTAATTGATGATTTTGTTTGTACAATAAAAGAAAAATACGAGGTATAGAAAAATACAGTAAAGATGTTTTAACAGGTGTTGTGAGCCTAGAATTTGTCTTATAGATATTGCGAATATCGAATTACATGGCAGTGCCGGCTTTCTATGACCAGTTAATAATCAGATTAACGAGTTTGCTCAACAAGCTAAGGCAAAAAAACTATATCATAACTTCCAATTTCCTCAACAATATGCAAATCAAGGAACTGTATGTCCCCAGAAATACATGGAAAAACCTTCCCGGTAAGCAAGTAATGTTAGAATGAAATGCCAATAATTCTTGAAGAATCGACTTAATTATAAGAGACCAGTATAAAGTAGACCGGCTGAAATACTGAATTCAGGACCGGATATTCATTCTTCCGTGTTCTATAGTGTCAGTGCAGTTTTTGCCATGGCCAGAGCACCCTCATACGTTTGATTTCCTCCGATGAATCCGCTCATATGGACAAAAACACAACCTGGGATTCCTGATACCCTTGAGAGCTCATCATCCCTCAGACCTCGCCACTGAGCTGGAAGAGGCCTCCTGCTTTCAAATCTATCAGGAGCTATTGCCACTGCTTGTACTCGCCAGTGTTTGCTCCTATCATCCTGCATAGTCATTTTCTGGTAAGAATTCTGAATAACACATTGGAGAGGAACTTATTTCTCTTTTAAGAGAGAAGAGAGGAGCATTGCAACTAAAGTCTTTAATGCACTCATTAACAACCATTTAATTGGCATCTGACACTCATAATACTCCAGAAGGATCCACTGATTAAAGATATTTCAGAGAATATTCTGATCTCCAGTGTAAAATTGACCAAATAATTGGTGAGCGACTCAAAACAACATTCTCCTGAAGAAAGACATGCACGATGATGCCAACAAAGAAAGAGGATCCTTGACAGGGAATTCTACTGATTTTTATTTGCAAGGAGTGACTTACTGACTTTTCATAATAATACATACCTGATAAAGGACGTATTTAATTAAAGATCCAATCTTCAGTTCTTCCTCAAGCTCAAATAAGTGAAGTTTCCACTGTAGGAAGCAAAATCTATCAGAATTTTATGGACAGGATGAAGGATATTCAATGAAGCTAAACAAAAACACACATGCCAAATTTCACAACTGCACTTCTTATGCCACTTAATGCACAATCATGCAGGTTTCAAGCAATTTGATTGCAGATGTGCTAAATTGCTAGTGTGGGAGATGTTCACAACATACTTACAGGACAAAATGTAGTCAAAACCATAATTTCACCACTAGGGTCAATATCATATCTAGCTCCAAGACCTTCCATTACAAATGTCCGTGCTGGTAACCAAGACTTAGCATGATAGCGAACACTCTGAAAATAACAAATGGCCAGTTAATATGCAAGTAGGACATGTTTCTATATCTCAAGACTGTAAGATAGGGAAAAGAAGATTATAAAAGTGAGAACAGCATCCACCTACTACTTCATATGCAAAGCAAACAGAAAACTTACATCTAAAAACTCACTGCCAGCCAGAGCCATTGCTCTCTTGAAGGCCTCATTCTCCTTCTCAGCTGATTGATCCGGCTCTATCCAATCTAAATTCAATCTCCCAACCCTTGAAGATAAATGTGTATTATTAACGTATCTTGGAGGCTGGTCTGTATCATACTGATTAATTCCATTATCAACTGCATCAATTGCCTGCAGAAGGGGGAAAGGTGATTCCAAATAAAGGGGGAGAGAGAAGAAAGGAAGAGGAGTTAACCACTAATCAAAAACATAAGCTACTAAAAAAAAAAAAAAAAAAAAAAAAGAGAGTTAACCAACTAATCAAAAACATAAGCTACTATTAAAAAAAAAAAAAAAAAAAAAAAAAAAAAAAAAAAGAAACAAGAATAATAATCTAAATCGAAGCAAAACTATCCGAAAACAAATAGGCATAGCATGGGCAGCATATGTGAAAATATATCAGGTTACACCCTAAAGTTATCAAACAACATCATCTATATGAACATGGAATGCTTTAAAGCCATTGCTTAGAGCACCATCATTGCTCCTATGCTACAGAGAAAACAACTCACGATATTTTCGAGAAAAGCAATATCAGAATACTATATATTCTCAATTTCTATATCCATCTATAACATTAATAAGCCAGCAAAATTTATCAAAAGAAACCAGAATTACGCACCTCCATGAAGCTTTTGTAAACAGCCAAAAATAGTCTATGCACGTCCGGGTGCCCTTCATCAACCTGCAGCTCCTTAGCTATGATCTCCTTCCCAAAATGCTGAAAGAGAAGCAATTAAAACAATTAACATTAATAGACACATACAAAATTAAGAGTGTACATTTTTCCTTGTTTTTTGGCACAAAGCGTTACCTTATAAACAAGACCAGCACTGCTAAGCTTGGTAGTGAACCCATGTCCAAACACCTCCTCAAACCCCTTCTGATGGTGATCATAGCGATCATGACTTGGATCATATACACCCCCAACATCAAGCACAGCATCCAGGCTCTCTAGTACCTGCATTGCATTATCAAATTTCATATAAGCCTTCACATAAAACACAAACAGCAAGCTAAAGTCCAGTTTGCTCATCACAAAGGAACAAAACTAGTATGAATTTCATCATCAACCACAATACCACCATAATGTTGTAGGGGGGAATTTTAATAAATAAACTCTCCAAATCCTAAGAAAACCAAGCATTTAAACCCCAAGGACTTGTTTGGTTACCAAACAGAATGGAGTAGCTATTCCAAGACATACAAAAATCACACTTCATTTTTTCTGTAAAATCTGTGTTTCATAAATTATAAAATTTTTATTATGTATAATAAGCTATCATACATCCAGAAATTTAACTAGAAAAAACTTAGAGTTACAAATTTGCTATTCTGTGCAATAATTATTCCACATTTAAATTCGAACCAAAGCTGTAAAAACTGGAACTAGGTATTCTAACCCCTCCCTATCAGACGCTATTTTGAGAAGCAAACAAGGCAGAAGATTCTAACTTTGTCTTCTTTTTTTTCAGACTGGTAAAAAATATCATGCTTCATGTTCTAAACTACTAATCTATTGAAATAAAAAAAGGTCAGGCTAATTGGTACCTGGGGATCTCGGGAGCGGACGATTTCAGCATCGGAGAACTTGTTGGTAAGGCGAATCATGAAGCAGCCAAGAGCCTCATCACAGTGGAAGCTACCATTGTGGGTGCCCACTCGCTTTGAAGGAGCTTGGTAGGGAGAACCTGTGGAGTAGGCCGGAGAAGAAACGGGAAGAGGAGAGGCCATGAAAGGACTTAAGAGAGGGCGGGTGAGAGCTTTCGGGAGGTTGAAGTTGGGCAACAGTTTGCTGTGGTTAAACCCTCTAGTTATTGCCAACATAACCCTTGCTTATATATATAGGGATGACAGCGGGGCAGGTACCCGCTAAAAATCAACTACCCAAGTCTGAACCCAATATCAATTTAAGTACCTGAATCCGTTAAGAAATGAACCAACAATACTCAAATCCATTCGGAATCCATTTAGAATCACCCGCATACTACCTGAACCCGTTTAATCACAAATTCATTCAATTCATGAAATCCGAACCTGAAAACGCATTAAAAGATATATTAAAAATGCAGAAAAAATGCAACCTGAAATAATAAAGTATTTCAACTGTAATATCCTAAAACAACAGTACTAGTAATATTAATATGAACATAATATTTGAACTCCAATTTTCCAAGAACCAAGATTGCAAGGATTAACAATCAACATCATCTTCTTCTGCACAAGAAAACATTTGACTCCACACTTGAACAAGAATCAACAAAATAAATAAATAAGAACTTCGATATTATAATAATTTGATTAACAATCAACACAATCAAATTAAACTAGCTAAAGCCAATCAAATTAAACTAGCTAAAGCCTACAGCAGAGTTTAGAGACAATACAATAACAAAGGAAAAAACTATCATCAAGATAACACAAATTGTAAAATAATACATGTTCCTTAGATCAAATTAAGTCTAGTTTAATACTGAGAATAAATGAGTTTAAACTTAAAAGCAAGAACAAGAGGGTCTCTTTGAACCTGAAAATGCCAAATCACATTCCAAGATTTAGATTCTTACAATCTGGGGAGAAAGAAAGTAAAGATAAATTCAACAAATAGAGCTCCTCTGTCATCTAGTATACAATATAATAATTTCATCTAAAAAAAGTAAACCATTTTAGATGGAAAACAAGCAAAAATATTCCCACCTTGCCGGGAAGGTACCATTCTATTGATTTTTTTAAACTTCATTTTACAATCACTTAATATTTAAATAAAAAAATTATAATTTCACGGGACACTCTTAAGTTAAGATTGTGATGCAGGAGCAATCCTAGTCCTAATTGGATTTCCAGCACAACTAGGATTTTATTTAATTTACTGTTTTATTTCAGATATGCATTAGTTTTCCGTTTCCTTATTTGATTAAGATTTACTATTTTATCATTGAATAGTTTTATTTCAGATATGCATTAGTTTTCCGTTTCCTTATTTGATTAAGATTTACTATTTTATCATTGAATAGGAATAGAGTTTTAATTTTTTCTTTAATTAGGATTCCTAGTCTAGATAGGATTTATCACTATAAATAGACAGCACTAGTAGCATTGTAAATCATCTTATTTTCCTCGTAATTTTAATTCAAAGGTTATAAACCTAATTATTGATTACTGTTCCACCTACAATCAACCCTTTTCTAGCTTACTTGTTAAAAACTGACAGCCCTACATCTGGTATCAAAGCACAAAAACAAATCCTAGGAATTTTTTTGTCTGAATTTTGGTTGGAAGAGGCAGAGGCAATCAGCCCCAACAAGATGAAATAGCTGAGATACGGCAAATGATTGACGATTTGACCCGGGCTGTGCAAGCCTCGCAGCGTCAGGAACCCGTGGAAGCCCGAATGGAGACTCCGGAAGGCAACCACCAAAACCTTGATTTTCAAGAAGCTCTTCAGAGTGAAGAGGGAATTTGAGGATGTAAATCCCTTTCATGAAGCTGGACCTGCAAACCCAGCAGCACGAGGCAGATTGGGATTTACTATTTTATCATTTAATAGGAGTAGAGTTTTAATTCTTTCTTTAGAGTAGAGTTTTAGATTTCTTTCTTTAATTATGTAGATACCTAGTCTAGTGAGGAATTTAATCACATAAATACATGATTATCACTATAAATAGACAACACTAGTAGCATTGTAAATCATCTTATTCTCCTCATAATTTTAATTCAAAGGTTATAAACCTAATTACTGATTACTATTCCACCTACAATCAACCATATTCTAGCTTACTTGTTGAAAACTGACAGCCCTACATCTTTCCCTGCATCAGATTGACATTTCACCCAGATGCCTATTAAATATATAACAAATTTGAAATAAAACTAGGTAATTATATAAATTAAAAAATTAATCTTATCCTATAATTTTAACTTGAATCAATTTTAAAAAAATCATAAAGATCTTAAATAAAATCTTAATCAGACTTAACCAAATAAATTATGTATAAAGTACTAATATATTGACTTTTTCCGGAAACACTAGAGGTTGGATTGGGCTAGAATGAACTGTAGCATTTTATGCACATATGACGATCTTTGCAAATAAAATTATGTTAAAGGAAGCATATTTTATCTGACATTGTTCCAACCTCATTTTCTTAACATACTCTTGAAGGACTAAATATTCCTGCAGAAATATTAACTATTCATATATAGCCAGCATTTGATTAATAACACAATCACCAATGCCCATCTAGAACAGTTAGAAAGTACTGGCACTAACTTAAGCTAATTAATACTCAATGGATAGTAGCAAGTTAACATTTTAAATAAGAGTATAGTTAAGTATATAGGGAGCATTAAAGCTCTCCCAAGCAACAGCTTCCTTTAGCAACATGTACGTACAGCAATAATATGAAATCGCAATCATAGTTCCGTCTATCTTATACAAAATACAAAAGCATAAACATCAAACCGAAAAATAAATTCTTGCAGGTGTATCTCAATAAAAATAAACCTTTCCAATTGAAGAAGTGAAATAGTCTGGTCACCATGATCTTGTACTAACATACACCCTATGATTTTATACATGTTTTCAGGCTCTAACTTCCGAATTTTGTTGTATACAACCTTTATACTATGTAAAATACTAAAATCCATTTCAAAATATTCTCAATTCTGCAAATATAATGGCAAGTAATATTAGGTGAATGATATTGTTAAGTGAATATTAATATAGTCATAAAAGGAAGTCTTGACAGCCGAATGGAAGAGAAGCTGGAAACTCATCACTTCAGAAAAGAGAAACATCAAATAGGGGAAAAAAAAAAAATACATACATCATTTTTTTATTCAGCATAGAAGAGAAAATGATATTGACCTTAAAATATCAAATTAGAAAGACAAAAATCAATAAGTAGACAGTCTGGAACATATCAAATATTTGTGCTTTTCTAAAACAATCAGAGAAACCAAACAGATAGGAAAGACACACAAAATACAAAGATAAATTTATCCTTTGAGCTTTGTTCTTTTTCTCTTCAAAGCTCTTATATTGGAAATTTTTTAAGCAACACGGAGAGAGATAATCCAATCTTTAAGAACACATAGCATCTCCTTGATTAATCCATAATCACTAGATCCTTTAGAAAACATCAATGAAACCATTTCAGATTCTACTTTTATTTCATAGGAACCGTAAATCGTTCTAACAAAGAACAGCAATTCAAAATTAACAAACTCAAATCACAATCAAATAACAAAACAAAATTGTATAAAAATCAAACATAAACCAAAGATAGAGAAGATGAGAAAAATCATTCAGAAGAGGATACTAACCATCACCAATCAATTATAAAGCATGCAGATTTCCGGACAAATTAAAGCAATTAAGGAAAAGGAAATATCATATTCATTCCTATCAAAATCCAAATAACATATCACAGTTTCATCAAAACCCAAATAACCAAACAGAGAAGAACCCTAGATTAGTAATTAACTGGAAGAGAAAAAAGAGAATTTAAAAAGAGGAGAGGAGAAGAGGAATAATTAGGAACAGAGTGCGCAGTGAAATCCGCGAAGAAGCATATAAAGAAGATGAAGTTGGCAAAAAAAAGTTACCATTCAGAATAGGGATAGCAGCGGGGTGGTACCCTCTAGAAATAAACTACCTGAACCCGAATCCGTTATAATTTTAAGTACCTGAATCCGTTAAGTAATAAATCAATAATACCCGGACGTAGCAAATCCGTTTAAAATTATCCTCATACTACCTGAACCCATTTAATCACAAATTTATTCAATCCAGGAAACCTGAACCGCATAGAACCAGAATCCAAACCCGAAGTGCAACAAAAACTATACAAAAAATGCATTAAAATTCAACTTCAAAATAATAAAACAATTTAACCTGTAATATTTTAAAACAACAGTACGTAGTAATGTTAAAATAGAACAAAAAAATTGAAATTCAACCTAAATAAATAATTCAAACCAATATCTCAATTAAACAATTTGACAATCAAACATCTATTAAAATTCAATAACAATAATAACAATAACAAACAATTTGACAATCAAACATCTATTAAAATTCAATAACAATAATAACAATAACAAACTAAAAATCAATTAAAATACAATAATACTAAACTATAACAAATTATCATAGAACGAGAACTAAATCCATATAGAACATAATAAAAGTATCTCAATAAAAAAAATTACTGAATTAAAAAGTACATTAAAAAAACAGAACACTACAATAAAAACACAAGAAATTTCACATAAACATAATTCTTGAACTCCAATCTTTTAAGAACCAAGATTGCAAGATTAACAATGAACATCATCTTCTTCAGCACAAAAAACGTTCGACTCCACGCATAACTAAGAATCTGAAAAATGAATAAGAACAAGAACTCCACTATCCAAGTCAGCCTATATCCTTCTCCAAAATAACAAAAAAAAAAAAAAAAATTCACCTATATAAAATCACAAAATACTAATCCCATACATCTTTAGCAGCAGAAAACCAAACTTTATTAACAAACCATTCTCAGTATATGACAACTATATGCAAATAATCTCATTCTCAGTATCTCCACACAAGCTTAATCATTATTAACAAATCAAATTTTGAATTAACAAACCAAACATGTCACATTTCACTCATATAGCCACGAATTGGCTTATATTCACCATCCTTTTGCCTTTTAATATATATATTTTCAACAAATAAAACATGCACAAAACCCACAAACCCACAAACGAAAAAATAAAACAATAAACATATATCTCTCGGGCTGAACCCACAAATTAATTCATCAATATATTCAACAAGTCCTTCTCTTTGTCTGTTTACATGTCTTTATATATAGAAAAATAAATAAACTGACAACGAAATAAAAATAACCAAGAACGAACCTGGCACTTGTACGCTTGAAGAGCACGACTGCTGCGGAGTCGACGGTCAAGAACGAAAGCGACGGTACGGTATAAAAAAAGACTCGGGCTGTAGAAGGAGAGAACGAGCGGCGCGGGGACAGGGAGGGAGGAGAAACACTTAACTTAGAGTTGAGATTTGAGACAACTTTTTGTTTGTATGATTAAAATGCAACCCTATGCTAAAACGACGTAGTTTTGTTCGTGTTCCATTTAAACCTCCTATGTCAAAACTACGCCGTTTTTGTGGTGAAATAGTTATTGTTATTATTATTATTATTGTTATTATTATTATTGTTGTTGTTTTTTATAATCAATCTATTTATCTATTTATCCAAATTTACCTATCTATCTATACTATATATTTATACTTTATATTATATTATATTATATTATATTATAATTATACTATCATATTATATTATATTATATTACTATACTATATATAAATGTGGGAAACACAAAAAAATCGGGGAGCAGGAAGAACATCAGGTAAACTTCCAGATATAGCAGGTAATTCGCTTTAACCCAAGTCGTAGTTGGCACCCCCACATGTCATTGCTTGACAGCGTATTAAACATCTTTCAATTCTCATTGAAAGCAAGGCTTTTCTCCATATGCCTATCACTCCTACTATACAAGGGGCCAATCTCAAGAAAAAACAGCGATTACCTTTCATGAATTATGGGAACTCTTCATTATATTTGTCTGAAATATCAACAGCAAAACAGCAGGTAGACCAAGGGTTTCAACTATCAGAGGCCTTACAGTCGTACGTACCCTTTTTCATATCAAGCATAAAAGCTAAAGTAATAAAAGAAAATAATGAGATTTTCAATATCGTCTTTAATAAAATTTAAATTTTTTTAATTAATCTTAATCATGATCAATTATAAAATTATATTATATTAATTGATTGGATATAATTTATTAAATTTATTTTTAATTTTAGAAGTAATATATATATTTCTACACGAAGAAAAAAAGAGAAGGTTAAAATTTTAACTCTCTATTTATTGAGTTTTTTATTTGTAAATAGTACTATGTTAAATGTATATTACTAGATATTAAAAGTTGATTGTATATTATTGTTATTTTATTTTTTATATTTAATTATTACATTATTTTCAGAATTGCCTTACACCGTTTATAAATGCCAATTGAATTGAAAAGAAAATGAAAAAACAAGAGCTAAAGAAATTAAATAATATCTAGGAAAAATATGAGTTTCAATTTTTATAATACAATTATAATAAATTTGAAATTTGTATATAATTTTAATTAAGAATAGTAATATATAAATTACATTTTATTTTAATATATGATTTATTTGTTTTTTTATATATATGATTTATTTGTTTTTTTATCTTATATTTTTTTCTTTTTTCAAACTAATTCATATATTAAATCATGCTTCTTTCAAAAAAAATATATATTACATCATGCAGCTACACTTATTGATATATTTATATCCATACAAATTAATAAATATATATTCTTTTAAAAAAAATGAATATATCTTGAAACTTTAGCGTGAGGAATGAAAATGCAATATAAAATATAATTAGATAGATGAGAAATACAATTTAATTTTTATGAAAGTTGTTTTTAAATAGAACATAAAATAACAAAGAAACAAATGTTCTTTAAACAATTCAAAGAAAAGAAAAGATAGTAAAATCTATAATTTATTAAAATTATTTTTAAATAAATACATACATATAATTAAGCTAATAAGGCATTTAAATTTAAAATTTATCTTTTTAATTTATTATATATATTATATATATAATATATTGAACGACCCAAAATTTATTTTTCATAGAATTTCATTTCAAAACTAAAATTTTATTTCAACAATGAGATATACAAGCTAGTATTTATTATTGGCTAAACTGACCGTAAACCAATTCGATTTTTGAAAACAACGAAAAACTCGAAAAAATACCAAGCAAATTGAGCCAATCATCAGAATTAGACGCAAACCGGTTCGTCGAATCGAACCGGAATGGTCTAGAAGCTTTAGAATTCTCCTTTCTTTTCTTTTCTTTTTTTTCTTTTCTTCTTCTTCCAGCGGCGTCGACCTCACCCCTCCCCTCTCCTCTCTCGTTTTTCCATCCGCCTGAGACCAGCGCCTCCTCGCCGTCGACTCCTTGCCGCAGCAACCCGGCCTTCCTTTCCCTTCTCCCCGTTTCCGCTTCTGGTGAGCGCAAAAATCACGGCGAGGCTGGGACTTTAGCCCGATCGAGATAGCGTCTCCGTCCTTCCCTCCGAGCAACTCCGACGACTATCTCCGACAAGGTAAGCTGCTTGTCCTCCCAATTCACTCCTTTAGAAAGTATTTTGTAAAGATTAGGCGATTTATTGAAGAATTGATCAAAATGGGAACTAGGGATTTAAGAATAAAAACTGGGATTTCGTTAAATATTGACATAATTTGTAGTAGTTGGCTATAGAACTGAGTTCTATATGAAATTTGCTATGTCTTGGCGTAAGAGTTGCAATATTCAGGAACCATGATACCTCCGGCCACCGTAGACGGCGGCGACAGTGGTGTCTCCGGTGACCGGAGTTCCCCAGAGGCAGAATGTTGCATTTTTCGTGTAGAGTATGAATATACAATCAGTTTTACCATCTGATATCAATTGATATTGATCTGTAGATTAACGTATATTTAGAAATTAGGCTTCAAATTAGGCTTCAGGCGAAAAATTAAGGAAGTGATAAACAAGGAACTATAACGATCTTAGAAAGGTTTTAATTTAGCTACGTTAGCAAAAGTAAATTAAAATTTGGTTGTATCAAAATAAGTTTATATGGATCATTTTATAATAATGTAGGATGTTTTATTCTATGAAGTTAATACTAATAAGGTTAAATATTATTAAAGTAATATGTAATTGAATGTTAATTAAGGGATTATTAGTGTAATTTGGTTTTATATTATGATATTGTTAATTGGATGATATAGTTGGCGTAGAATATAATGTAAATTTGGGTAAAGTATGACCTGTTGTTATAAGCAGCAGCTAAGATGAAGCTAGTGCCATTGTATATAAGTTAATATGTTAATGAATGGTTTGATTGTAGACCTGGCCATAATTAGAACTTATATTTCTATGCCAAGACAAAGGAAATTTATAAAGCCTATGTTTAGGAAGTGAATCAAGTTACTTAGTAGATATATATGTTTTGAATTGTTTTTAGGTTAGCATTGATTTTTAGTGGCTAGTTTGGAATTTAACTTATCGATGTAAGTTTTATTTATAAAGTGTACATTTATTTGATAATTAGTTAGTACATTTATTTGATAATTAGTTAGAGGAGACAATTAATAAAATCGATTTTGGGAACATGTTGGAGGTTTAATTAAATAATTTTTGTAAGACTTATTTAGTTGAAACGTTGCATACTTGTACTGAAGGAGGATGGGACTTAAAAATTGTTGAATTGCCCGAATGGATTGGGCTGTGTGCATTGATTGATAAATATATATATAATATTGTGATAAAAGACAGGTAGATAGTCAAATTTTTTGGGGAGGTGCTGCCGAATTTCGATAGAATTTAGACACTATTTAAGTAATGACATAATTAAATAAGTCTAATTTAGATTAATTCTAATAACTTTAATAAAATATTAAATAAGAGTGCTGCTAAAACTATTTAATATTTTCATTATTATTCCATTGAAAATTATTTATTTATTTATTTATTTTTGCAATTAGAGTATGGAATGTCTAAATTTGTGCATATGCATTAACGATGTTTAAGTGATCAAATTATGTACTGCATTTAATTGCAAATACTTGAATGAATTGGTTGTTGTGATAATGCTATGCTTTGTTTGTGTAGAGTTGGGATGAGTTGGGTTCACATGGGTTTGGTGAGGACGGTTGGACGCGTCGCCGGTAAATGGGAGATCGGCAACCCCCGTGTGCACCTACCGGTTACCGTTTATCTCGTTGTTAACGCACATGGGTGGCCTCCTGAATGGTATGGAAGAAAAGAGAAAGATTGGAAAAACAATGAGAGGGCTGGAGTCAAAGTGAGGATTAAAGACCGGGGTCGGGCCAGTAAATGGGGAATCGGCTCCCTGGTGCAACACCGTTATGAGAGGATGGGCCATGTGGGAGGACGGAAGCTCATCGGGGGATTCGGTGAACCGCCACTGAACCAATTTCCACGTGATGTGATTAATATGAAGATGTTAATGATTTGTGGAGTGCTAGTGATTTTGCCATTTGGTGTTGACTGGCTGCGTGAGCATACAAACTAGTCTGATGACTAGATTGATATGTTTACATATTTGTTGTGACTATGTGTGTTTGTGCAATAATCATTAAACTCCTTAGAAAACTCCACATGTCTTGTTTTGATTTTTTTTTTTCAGGAAGTAAGTTTTCCTTTATCCGATTTAGGGCTGTTATGTTTTTTCGGCGCAGGGCAAAAATAGAAGAAATTTTCCTAGTTCCCATAATTATTTACTATGTAATTATGTGTAAATAAAAAGCTATGTATACCAAATGAGTTTAGCTGACTCCGCAGTTGTAGGATTTACAATAATATTTTAATCGTGTTATTAATATACGACAAAAATAAATTCTGATAAGCCATATTAGAATGTGTTGCACTGTAAATTGGGCCTGAACTATGAGAATGCTGTAGAAGATAAACTGGGCCAAAGAAAATATATAAAATATTGAAAGGTTTTGTTTTTTTCCTGATAATCAATATGGGGCTGAATGTTGAAATTTATACCGAGATAATAGATTCCCTAGTTGGGTCAGGCTACTACGGATCTCGGGGGCCTGAAAGTCTTAACCTGGGCTATAGGTGCCGATACCGACCCACAAATGGAAATCGGGTCGTGAACATATATATATATTATAGTATAGTATTATAATATTATATATATATAATATATATATATATATACAAGACAATTATGAAAATTTTTGTAATTCCATATTTATCAAAAATTATGTTTATATATTATTTATATTTATTATAATTTATATATAGTATATATTAGCTTTATTATTAGAGATATAAGTTTAGTAATATATATAATTAGTAAATAATTATTTATTATAAATTATATAATCGTAGAATTAGGCTGCATAATTTGAATTGGATCAGGTATATATTTT